CTTGCCTGGTTGCTCTGGCAAGAGAGAGGGGTCGTCAACACCGTGGTTGTACTGGGTAGCAGCGGCGTCGGTCTCGGTGTGTAGCGACAGAAGAGGGGGGAAGAAACAATAAATATTAAGCAAACAGATGCATAGCGATGCATGGCATGACAAGTAGCGGTGCTAGGGGTGCCCTAACGCGGTAAGAGGTGGTACCGGTGAAGGGGGGAAACATCCGGAAAAATATCCCCGGTGTTTTGGGTTTTCGGACAAATGAACCGGAGGGGGAAATTTGCGTGTTTGCTATGCTAGGGATGCGTGGCGGACGAACGGGCTGCGTATCCGGATTCATCTCGTCGTTCTGAGCAACTTTCATGTGTAAAACATTTTCATCCGAGTTACGGTTTAATTTCTATGAATTTCCAAAATTTTAACAACATTCTAGAATTTTGAGTTTAATTTAAACCCGAATTGACCAAGTCAATGTGACTAGTCAAAAGGAGAGGTGGTGGCCCATATGACACTGATTTAATAATTTCCAAAATATTTATCTAATCTATTTAAGATGAGACCCACTTGTCATTTACTAAAAGGGCTAATTAGCACTAAACTAATCCTAAGCTAAACATAGCCTAATTAACAAGGGCCGGCCATTAGTGGACAGAGTCCAGCCGGCCACACACGCACACCACACACACGCACTACACACACGCGCGCTGTGTACACACAACACACATATACACAACACACGCATACACAGTGCTAGGGGTTAATTCTGTTCTCTATTTAGACAAGATAGCATTTTGTGATTTTCATAAGAATTAATCCACGCATCAAATTGATTTGGTCCAATGGAAACATTTGAGCTTTGACAAGTGTAATACCTAGAAATATTATTCTTACTCCTGTTAACAGTTGTTTAGCCGCAGTTTAGGGGTTGTCCAGATGGCTAATCAATGTAGCAGCTACAATGACTAGCAGCAGTTCAGTAAGAAACGGCTATGCGCGGCACGGGTGTGGCGCAATGCAGCAGTAGTTGTAGGCGGCGGCGAGACGTGTGACCAGCGTCGAGCGGGGCGAGCGGGCCTGATGCGACTGCGGGCGAAGGCGGCCGACGCAAGGAGCTGGTGCGGGCCGGCATGGCCAGGTGCCGGAGGGCCCACGCGGAGCGCCGCCAAGGGGGCTGTAGACGGAGCGCGGCTGAAGGCGGCGGGCGTGTGCGCGTGCAACGCGGCCCACGGCAGAGGACGCCAGGCGAGGTTGCGGAAGAGGAGGGGCTCGGGCGCAGCCATGGCCAGGTAGGCGCGGCGGGGGCCGGGGCGCGCGTCACGCGACGGAGCAGAGCACAACGCGGTCGGCGCGCGGGGTAGGTGTGGAGGCGAGGCAGGGACGAGGTGGCCGCGAGGAGCACGAGCTCGGGCGGCGGCGGGGTGTTCACGGATGACGACGGCCATCGGCGCAAGAAACGGAAGGGGAGGAAGGTGCTCACCGCGGGGCACAAGGTGGCCCTTCGACGGCTTAGTAGCTGCAGGGCGGTGCCGGAGCCATGGAAAACGACGACGACCATAGCGGACGGAGGTGATGGCCGACGTGGAGGAGCGGCATCGATCTCTACATTGAGGCGGTCTTCTACTCGAGGTCGTGGTCGAGGAGGAAGCAGAGGTCAAGGTGACGGCGGACAACGACGGGGACGAGCGCGGTGGCTCCAGATCGGGGCGCCCACGGCGAGGAGTGGACGGGGGCAAGATGGGGAAAAGTGAGGAGGGGGCTAGGGTTCGTGCGCCGCGGGGAGTAGATATAGGCAGGGGATCGCCGGATGGCCGCCACGGCGACGGACGGTGCCGTGGCAGGCATCGGCGCGGCCACGGTGTAGTGAACAGGAGAGGAGGATTAGTGAGCGCGGGTGGGCTACCTGGTAGCGGCCAGCTGGGCCACCAGGCCCAATGGGGGGGTCTTTTCTTTTTATTTTTATTTTTCTGTTTTAATAGTTTTCTATTTTATTATATATATATATATATATTGTTTTATTAAATATATTCATAGTACCTAAATTAGTGTTTCAAAATATCCCAGTGCCACAAAAAGTTTAAACCCCAAATAAAATAGTTTAACATTTTATAAATAATAAAAGGCATTTATTTAATTGGTTATGCCACTATTATATATACAAAAGGGCATTTAAATACTTTGCAAAAGTGTTGGGTCACCACCATATTAGTTATGGAATATTTGCCACACTTTGAACATTTTATTTTGCGTGTTTGAGAATTTTGAATTTGAATTTGGATCGCAATTTGGATCAACCAAGGATTAGCAACAGTAAGAGTGGTGATGTGGCACCATTAACCTGGGATTACTGTAACTTAATTATCCGGACATCACAATGTAAGAACTTATGTTGCCCTAGCAACCCTATCTAAGTTAAGTTATGTGTGTTATATTAATGCTTTGTTATGTTTGTATTTTGTTTGTCCCAAGTTTAGACACGGCTAATTGGCGTTGGAAAAATTGACCAAACTAAGTACAAATGATGTGTTTATAGATGCCTTCTAAAAATAAGAACATATTGTACATTTGTACATGGCTTTGGTTTGAGAGCTCTGTATTTTTTAGGTATTCCAAGAATACTTTGGTTTTCAGAAATATTGAAGTATCAAATACTTTGAGATGTTTGGCTTTAGTCAAAAGTGTAGTTTTAACTACACTATGTTTGAAGTATATAAAAAAGAGGGTTGGACCTCTTTTTGCAATCATGAAGTATTGGTTTGCTAGGCATAATAATATTGCGGTTTGCAAATACTTTGATTCTAAAAATGAAGGGACCCATAAAGGAAAGCCAAAAAAATTCCTCAATGAGATAGACAAGATTGGGCAATCAAATTAATGAAAAAAGCAATCAGAAACAAAAAAGAACAAAGTAATCGTTCCTAAACAAAAAAAGAAACATCGCTTGTTTCTGGGCCTATTGCAGCTTGATTCTCTTTGGGCCCGCGAACTAGGTTTTTTTTCTAGCAGAACTGACGAACTGCTCAAGGAACTTGATGTATATCCCTTGTTCTGCTCAAGTACCGCTCAAGGAACAAAAAAAGTTTGGCAAGTGCGAGAGAGAAGAGATGAACTTGATGTATATCCCTTGTGCTGCTCAAGTACTGCTTACTGTCATTTGACGAGCTAGGGTATGATCCAACAATCGAGGTTATTAGCTAAAAAAATAATCCTATCACTGAACTGGTAGTTGTCTTCTACCGAAACTGAAAGTTTCAAAACTTAACAGTAAACTGCATACATTCAGAGATCGACAGTTGCACTAAACAGAGTTGCATTTGAGATAAACAGACTTGGATTGCTAAACAGTGGCAACAACAGTAGACAAACATCTCTAACGAGAGATGGCCATCAAGTAAAAAATTCCTAGAGCAAGTATTCCTAAAGCTATCAGATTGGATTGCTTCTTCAACTCAATCAGCTGCTTGAAGTTCTTGCTCATCTTCTTCAATTCCATCTTTAGATTGACATCTACCACCGTAGGGTATTCCGGATGCGCTGCTGCTGCCGGAGCGTTACTGTCATGGGGCAGATTGAACTTGCGGATTGCATTCCCCCTCGAATCCAGCAAGCCCAACCCTTGAAGCCTCTGGATGTAATCATCCATCCACTCGAAATGGTGGCATTTCTTCACGATCTGAAAACGAAATCATGTAACCTAAATCCAAATCTGATAGTTTTTTTTGAGAAATTAGAGATAAAGGATGCGACGAAAACTCAGATCTAACCTGCCCCTCCGGCTTGCTCTCGCATTTGACGAACTCGCGCCCAAAGTTCCCATTCTTCTCCTCCTTCGAAGTCAACCACTTCAGTGGCGCAGTCCGTGGGCAGTCAGTGCATCGAGTCATTGACACTGGACCATACACTGGCCACGTGGAATGGGGGGCTGACGAGGAGGTCGACATATCGACCGAGAGGAAGAAACAGAGGAATTGCTCGAGAGGAAGAAGAACGAGAAGATGGGGGAAAGAAACAGAGGAATTGCTCGATCTGCTCGATGCCTTTGTCTGTCAGATGGATAAGAGGAGAAGGGGAAGCTATATTGACGATTTTCCACATTGTATTTTGAAGTTTGAATATTTGAACCAACTTTTAACACTGACATGTGGTGGTCATGTGCGAAAAATACAATTTCATATGTAAAGTAGGGCAGATCGTAAAACCCCGAGAAGGACAGTGCAGTAGCCAATCAGGACGCATCACGCGGATCACGCATGCCTGCCCCACATCTGACGGGTGGTGTTTGGCGCTTGGTAGGACGTTCGATGCTAGGGTTTGGAGCATTTCTACGGGGTTATGAGCGAGTCGACGGGGTTATTAGGGTTTGACCAGATTTCAAATGGCCATAACTAAATTAGAAAATATCACAAAAATATAAAACAAATGTAGTTCGTCCGTTTATGAGACCTAGTTACCATAAAAAATATAAACTAGGTATAGGGGCGTTTTTTTGAAAGATCATTTTTTTGAAGTGATCTGTCGAAATCAAGTTCAAATGTTTTTAAAAAATTAAAAAAAATCAAAATGTTCTAATTCTTGCGCACATAGCCGTCATATGTGACAAGGTTATGAGAAAAAAAATATAAACTTGGTGTAGGTCATTTTCATGAAAAAAGGCTTCACACAAATGAGCTATCACCTATGAACATGTTCGGAGTCCCTAGAATAGGGAGAGAGGGTTTAGGGTTTGAAAAAAAATCAAAATAATTCAAAAAAATCAGAAAAATCTCCATAGCTTCATTTTTGAGTGAATAAGAAGGATCTGAACTTACTTATTCATTTTCATATCTAAAACGTGTTATTTAACGGTTTTGAATTAAAAGCATATTTTTTCATAAAAAATGTAGTAATATGAATATTAATCAATAAATAGTGAGACTTCGTTTTTACCCTATATATATGGAACAAGTGTTAATAAAAATATATATGCCTCATTTAGGCAAGGTCAAAAAAACTTGATTTCAAATAGGGCTGTTTACCCTAGCTTTCGAGCTCGTTTCTAGCACATTTCTCATTTGGACTGTTCACCTATGAACATTGGACTTCAAATGCTCGATCAAATACACCGCACAGAGCAATGAACCTCCAATGTTCAACTTCAACTTTGGCTCGAATCCAAATTTTGGCCCAAATTCAAATATTGATTTAAATTCAAATTTTGATGGAAATTTGAATTCTGACTCAAATAAGAAACCAAAGTAGAAGCAACATTATTATAACTGATAAGTTTTCACAGTAGCTCAAATCTACCAAGTTTTAAGATGCCAACAACTTAATACAAATCTACCAAGTTTTAAGCGATCGACTCGCCCTCAAATTGACAACACAAACATTTCCCAACAACTTAATTCAATTTTTCGACTTGCTCCTTGTGTTTGCAGCTGGCTTCACCGTCTTGCTCCTGGTTTCCCTAGTTGAGATGCTCTTTTCTTTCGGACTCTTGTTCCTTTTGATCTTGGGCTTTACTTGGGGTTTTCCCCGTGGAGGTGCTGATGGAGTAGTTCCACTCGCCGAGCACTTGACGACCATTTGACGGTCATCTAGGGGTTCAGTAATCTTTAAAGGCACAATTGGAAAAATTACCCCCCCTCCTCTTCCTCTCTTATAGCTTCAAAACCATCAAAGGCCATGGTTTCAAAATCTTCTGCTTCTTCATCTGTTGGCCTTTTCTCCCTAGAGCTGGTAAATAAAATTATAAGCCATAGGCAAAAAAGAGAACAAATGCAAACAAAAGGGTAGCTACATTCTACAAATGCAAACACATACCAAGATGCTTCATTTGCTGCTGCATTCTCCACTGCTTCATTTGCTGCTGCATTCTCCACTGCATCTTCAATCTCCATTGCTGCTGCATTCTCCTCAGCATTGGCTGCTGTCCATCTTTCCTCCTCTCCAAATGATGCATCCACTGCATTGGTACAAATCCTAGCAATATGCCCCAGAACTCCACATTTTTTGCAAGCACGCTTATTTGGTAGACGACCCTCCTCACCTGCTCTAATCCTCTGGTTCCTTGGTCTTCCTGGTGGTCTAGTAATGACAGGAGGGTGGAGTTTGAACCCTGGACCTACTATGTTCTATTGATCTTTCCCCAATAGTGCAGGCACATTGTCAGCATAAGCAGCCATAAATTTGGCAACAGAGAAATACTTAAAGCAATATTGATCAACTTCACCATCTGCACCCCCGATAACGGTCATCAGATGTAGGGCATGTATGCATGGCTTCCCACGGATCTGCCATTGCCTACAAGTACATTCTCTAGTACTTAGGTTCACAGGATACCTCCATACGCTATTTTTAGTGTCAGTATAGGTAACCTCTCCCTCATATGTACCAGATCGAATACATTTCATCTTCAGTCCTCTTGCCTTCAAGTGCAATGCCTTAATCAGTGATGGGGGCATTTGATGACCAACATATTGTGTTTCTGCAATTCTTTTGCGAAGAGCCATCTTTATCATGATCACTTTCCTCATCTTGTCAAATGCTTGCCACAACAAGAGCCATTTCACTGACTTGAACTTTGAATTGAAGCATTCTACAAGGTTACTGGTCACATAATCTACTTTGCAGATTTCGTTGAATTTGCTTCTTGACCACACCTTGCCATGATGTGCATCCATGTACTCCTTCACAAGAGGATTTTGAGCATACAACACTCTCAAATGGTGTTCATGCTTCCTTTTGTTGCATGTGTATGATGCTGGCCATAAGTTCTCATCATAAACTTTACCTTTGAACTTCTTTTTGAAATTATGTGCTAGGTGTCGCATACATTCCCTATGCTCCACTCCAGGGAATACAATTTCCACTGCACTCTCTAAACCCTTGCAAGCATCTGTGTGTATAGCTAAACCTGGGGGTGTGCCTATAATGTTGCGCAACTGCTGTAGAAACCAGACCCAACTTTCCTTAGACTCTGCCTCCACCACACCAAATGCAACTGGGAATAGCCAGTTGTGTCCATCAACTGCAGAAGCTTCTACTACCTGTCCTCTCCATCTTCCATTTAAATGTGTAGCATCTACAGCCAAATAGGGCCTGCAACCATCTAGAAACCCCTGCCAGCAAGCCTTGAAACAAACAAAAGCCCTTCTGAAGCACTCCTTCTGAAATGACTTCCCTTTTATTTTGAATGGAACTGTATACTTGTCAATATCTATAACACTCCCTGGACTTGCCATCTCCACTTCAGCTTTGAAAGTGTAAAGCAGCTAAAAACTCTCATTCCATTGACCATTAATTCTGTCAAGAGCCTTTTCCCTAGCATTGAAAATTCTCATGTAAGGAATTTCTATCTTGTACTTCTCAAAAAGCTTCCCATGGAGTGATGTTGGATCAAGTCCAGGTTCTTCTCTCAGCCAATCCAATATAGCATATGCCACCCACCTAGTTTTTGCTAGCTTGGTTTTGGCCTTCCCCCCTCCCCCTCCAGGTGGACAGGTGTGCTTGTGTGGGTTTTTCTTTACCTGAAACAAAATAAAAGGGTAAAAAACAGTTAAGAAACCTTACTCAACGATCTGAAAGTAAATTACTAACTGAACTTGAATTACCTGAATATATTTGCTCTTTCTCATACGAGATGCATGCAACTTCCACCTACACCTAGGATATGGACAAAAAACTGTGAACCTTGCTGGCTCACTCCTTTTAATCTTATAGGTGTTTTCAAATATAATGCACCATGTTGTCACTACATTCCGATAGTCCACCATTGATTGGAAAATGGTACCTACACTAAGCTCAAGTTTTTCCCTATTCCACTCAATTGTTGGCATGTCATCACCATCGTATTCATCCTCGATTAAGCTGTCCATGTTCTCCACCTTCTCTTCATCGTCAGTGTCATCAAACCTAGCTTGGCTGATGGGCTCCTCATATATTTGTCATCCACCGCTTGCTAACTGGCTACATCGACCAGTTTAGGAAACATCATCTCGTCTTCATCATCATTTGTAGGCACTGCCTCGTCGGGTTCTGCATCTTCTTCTACACCAATTGTAGAAGGTACACGAGATGCAGCAGCTGAATCGGAACCAGAATTGGCAGCAGGCATGTTGTGGCTCCATGAACCACTTTCTTTACTTGGTGTCGACCTACAAGGAGTGCCGGGGTGCTGGCTATTAGCACAGATAGATGATGTCTGAACTCCCTTCCCCTTCGCCCGTTCTGTGCGTGGCTGAATCACATCGATTTGGAGTTTACTGAATCGGCAGCCAGCAATCCCAGCAAAAAGCAACGGCATATGATCGTCACAAGTTAGTGGGAGAAATCTTTGCTCGTCACTGCTGAAGTAATTAAGTTCAACAGCATCGGCATCACTCCAGGGATAGGTGTTTCGGAGCTCAGCTCGCAAATCTTTGAAAGATATGCTGGTTTCTACCACTTTGGGATAGAAAAATGATGAAATCAAATGCGGTTTAGTACCATGTAGCACACTAGTTTCCATTCTAATTGCTAGCCGGAAAGCCAGCGCGAGATCAATCCTATTTTGTTGGGGGAAGGAAACAAAGGCTTCAGTTAGCCGGGTAAAATCAAGCACAAATTCGAATGATTCAAGTAAACAGAAGTCAAATACGGCCTACAATACGACTTAGAACATCAATTCGAGAGGAAACAATGCTTACCCAGGTTTAATCCATGAATTATCTGCTGCAGATTTGACCCAATCCTCTCCACGGTCGACTACATTCTGGGCGTCCTCACTCAACATCGCTATGTAATGCCAGATGGGGAGGTGGGCTATATCTGGCGCAGACGCGACGCCGCCGACGAACGGAATAGGGCATAGGGTGGAGGAAACAACTGCGGTGGCCGTGGCACGACGCCGGCGGAGGGGGCGGGG